CCACCTTTGAAAAATATATGCTACCCTTTAAATTAGCTAATATTTCTTCAATCCGAGGTAACGGATATTTTATCTCCACAACCCACGGGTTTAGCGTGACCCGAAAATCAGCGCATAAACGAAGCTTTCCATTGGCCTTCTTCACGGGTACTAACGGTGTTGCCCATTCGCTATATTCCACTGGACAAACAATGCCCTTCTGCACCCACTGCTCCAATTCCTTGTCTACTTCATTTCGCCATTCGAACGGTATCCGACGTAATGCACAAAACTTGGGCACATATCCCTCCTTTAATTTGATATCCACTTCATAATCTCGGAGACAACCCAACTTCTCATCAAAAATCTCCTTGTAATTTTTCATCAAGTTTCTCACTCCCTCTTGTACTTTGATCATACCAAATTCTATCTCTCTATCCCGCAATTCCCTCTCTTCCCGTCGTCTCGTTTCCTTTCCATCCATTTCCATTTGTTGGCTATGTGTTCCCTTAGTATTTCCTTGTTCCAAATCATCATCTTCTCTAGTCTCTTCTTCTGGCAACATTATTTTCCCATCTGCCAATCTCTCCAGCTCCGCTTCAAACTTTCCTTGATCATGAATTTCTTTCTGTTCTTCAGTATCATTTCTTTCTTCCTTTCTCCCAAAGTCGCGACAACTCCTAAAATTCTCTCCAATACCTCCCCTAAAATTCTCCCCAATACCTCCCCTATAGTTCCCCCCAAAACCTCCCTTATAGTTCCCCCCGATACCTCCCCTATAGTTCCCCCCGATACCTCCCCTATAATTCTCCCCAATACCTCCCCTAAAATTCCCCCCAATATCTCCCCTATAGTTCCCCCCAAAACCTCCCCTATAGTTCCCCCCGATACCTCCCCTATAATTCTCCCCAATACCTCCCCTAAAATTCCCCCCAATATCTCCCCTATAGTTCCCCCCGATACCTCCCCTATAATTCTCCCCAATACCTCCCCTAAAATTCCCCCCAATATCTCCCCTATAGTTCCCCCCAAAACCTCCCCTATAGTTCCCCCCGATACCTCCCCTATAATTCTCCCCAATACCTCCCCTAAAATTCCCCCCAATATCTCCCCTATAGTTCCCCCCGATACCTCCCCTATAATTCTCCCCAATACCTCCCCTAAAATTCCCCCCAATATCTCCCCTATAGTTCCCCCCAAAACCTCCCCTACAGTCTCTAACAACCCTATTATCCTCTCTTCTCCTTTCCCCATCCAAAAAGGTTTCAATTCCTGGCAATCTCTCTCCATACCACAAATTCATATCTCTATTTTCTTCATATCTTGCAACAGGTAAAAATACACCACACCATGCGAATACCCCCAAAAACCACAATCTGGACCAATTCGGGTGATCCAATCCCATCCCACTACTGACTCTACTTTTCGATCTACTATCCATAAGTCCAAAATCTCCACTCTATTCTCTAATATCACCTTTAACTCCACCCTTCCCATCACTGCGACTTCTGATCCATCCAACTGACGGATCTTGATGTCCTCCCGTTTAATTATCCCTTCCGACCAAATACTCTGATATTTCTCATATCCCATCACGGATATGGCTGCCCCGGTATCAAATAACATGGATACCATATTTCCATTCAAATTTATCCAAACTCTAGGGCAAGGATCATGTATCCTTTCCTCTTGTATCATATATATGCTTTTTGATACCCAATCTTTCTCACTATAATCTAATCTTTCCATCTCTTTCGCCCAAAGCCCCCCGACCTTTGCGGCATGCTCTTTGCCATCATATAGTCACAAATACTCGCAATCTCTCGCCCCATGTCCTTCCTTCCGGCAACGGAAACAGATTCTATTCTGCTCTTTATTCACAGCCAAAAATGGTACTCCTACCTCTTTATTTTTTTCACTTTCTATAATTCTAACATTTGGAGCACTTTGCCCCATGTCCCTCTGCGGAAAACCGCCTCTAGTTTTGAAATTACCCACATTGCATTCCTCCCTATTATGACCAAATCGACCACAACCTGCACATCGTAGCTTATCACGTCTTCCTGAACAAAACGTGGCTATATGTCCATAATTTTCCACATTCAAAACATTTCGTTTCTTGGCAATCTCTGACCATATGTCCCTGTCTTCCGCAATTATAACAATTCATTCTCCCCCTTACTCTTGAATCAAAGTTGGGTCTCATTTCTCCTCTCCTTCCCTGTGAACTTTCTCTAGGTCCCCTATATGTCCCCAATCTCTGATTAGTATATGAATCTCTCCTTTCAGGCCTATAGGTTAATTTATCTAATTCGCTATCCGTCCACCCATTAATTAACTCCTGCACTGGGAACCATGTTACCTTTCCCATAACATCCTCTTCCCCATTATGTCCTTCTATAGTCAATGTCTGCCCCTTTATTTTCACACTTCGACTTCTTCTCAACTTTCTTCCCCATATTAAGCTACACATCCATATTACTAATATAACCAATGCCCCAAAAATATTATACTGTATTTCCCAGTATTTTACAAATTTTAAACTTTTCATTTCGACCTTATAAAAAATTTATAATTAATTTCAAAATAAAAATTTTTGTTATTTGTAATGTTAATAGATATGATATTATTAATAGTGTAAACAACCCAATAATACACATGTACATCTACAGTTAATAAGTCTAAAGATACGACAAAAATTTGGGCAAATTTTGTGTAACAGATTTACAACTCGTAAAATTCGGACAGCACTTCCGTACGATAAGACTTTTTTTTTATTTTGAGAGAGCAGAGAAAGAAAAAAAAAATAAATGGACAGCTGATGTCGATGATGAAGACGATGTATACTTCACTTCAAGACTCAAATACCACTATATGATATTTTTCACTCGAAGACTCAAATACCACTATATGATATTTTACCGTAGATGTAGATGAAGACGATGTACAATTCACTTCAAGACTCAAATACCACTATATGATATTTTCCACTCGAAGACTCAAATACCACTATATGATATTTTACCGTAGATGTAGATGAAGACGATGTACAATTCACTTCAAGACTCAAATACCACTATATGATATTTTCCACTCGAAGACTCAAATACCACTATATGATATTTTACCGTAGATGTAGATGAAGACGATGTACAATTCACTTCAAGACTCAAATACCACTATATGATATTTTCCACTCGAAGACTCAAATACCACTATATGATATTTTACCGTAGATGTAGATGAAGACGATGTACACTTCACTTCAAGACTCAAATACCACTATATGATATTACGACAACCGCACTAACCAGGTTGCTTTGTATAAACACGGCACCAATTTCAAAATTTCACCGTACAGAAATGTTTAACTTAACAGTATATTTATTTTTTTTTACCCCTTTTTTTTTTGAATAAATTGGTTTTATTTTTCTTTAAAACAATAAATATAAAAAAAATATAATTGATAATAATAATGAATTTCCACTTTTTTTTAGTTTATATAAGATTATTATTTTTTTTATAAATATTAAATTATTATTTATTTTTTTTTTACATAATAAATATTAAAAATATTTATATAATGACGTTCAAGATGACTGCGCGAAACAAAAAAAATATTAAAAATAAAATTTCAAACAAAAAAATATTTATATAATGACGTTCAAGATGACTGCGCGAAACTAAAAAAAAATATTAAAAATAAAATTTCAAACAAAAAAAAAATATTTCATGACTCATACAAAGAAAATAATAAAACTATTTATAACAATCGATCTGCAAACCACAAAATGCCACCACAACTGAATCATATTTTAAATGTTGATGAATGAAATGCCAATTTAGTTGTATATATATATCATTTATCTAGTCTTACCCTAATTTTTCCCAGAAAAACATAGATATGCCTTTTATTTACGAAGCGGATATAATAACTTAGTAACATTCATATGCAGCCTGATTCGAATTTAAAATTAGGCTTGGTCTGAAACCTAATCAGAGTGGGCCAATTTTGGCGTTTCACAAAATTTTAAAGCCGCAAACTATAGCTGGTTTTATTTTATTAAAGTTTATTTCAATGGTTAATTTCTATCCGTTTTGGTTATTCCATTCTAATTAATTTTTTTTGTTCGATTTATAAATCTTAAAATAAAATTTTCATTTTTAATAGCTCAGCTTATTGATTGTTTAATCCAACTATAGATGCAAACCTGCAGACAGTAGCGTCACTAGGGTGGAAGGTTGCAGAGGTCCCCTTGAAAAATTTGAAGAGCTCACTCAAAATTTTAAATTTAAAAAAAAATATAATTTAGAAAATATTTGCTCTAAAAAAAAGGTTATTTTGGATGACGTAATTTTAAAAATAATTTTTGAGTTCCATTGGTTAGTGACGCCCCTGGTTACAGATCTTTAATTCAAATAATGTTAGGCATGAAAACTTTCCATATAATATGCTGAGTTCATATTTTATAATAAAAAGATGAAGTTAAATAATACTGATTTAGAAAATCCTCTACATGATATTTTTTTCATTTTAAGCTTAAATCAAATATTCTAATCCCAACTCTAAGAGTATTTCAAACTGTATAGAGATTGATTTACATTTAAAAATAATTGCATATTATTTTGGCCTAAATTATTAAAAAACAAAAAATCATTAAAGTTTGATGCAAATTTTAGATTTTATAGAAATCGATTATAGTTAAATAAATGTATATATTTTGAGTATCTAAATTATTGAATTTATTTTTAAATCAAAAAGTTGTAGAGATAATTTGGAGATTTTTCTTATTCAATAGTATCTACAACTAGAATATTGCCTTGGGTTTATTGGGGTGTCAGCTAAGTAAAGTTTTATTATTCATTTGTACATCATAGTTTTGATGGCTTCAATTCATTCCTAAAATTTAGAAATTAATAAAATAATAAAAAATATGTTCCAAATATTCCCAAAATAGCATAGTTTATAAAATATATGACTGGTTATTTTATTATAATTTGCTAATTAAAAAAATATTAATATACATATCACAATTCGATTTATATAATTAAAATAAAAAGTTGTATAATATAATACAAAATATTTTATGTCCATTCGTTATAAGCTTGAATAAAATAAAAATATGTATAATATAATACAAATATATTTTAAGTCCATTGGTTATAAGCCTGAATAGAAAGATCCAGAAGTTTCCAGGACGCCTTAGGATCCATCTCGGAAACATCTTTGCATAATATCCATACATATTGCATTCTCATTATTTTATCCTTTTAAGCATTAATAACAAATAAAATCGTTTAAAATATTTATGCAAGTTACCAAAAAGTGCATGCATTTTCTCATCATTTAAAATCAATTTATTAAAAGTTCAAATATTCTTCAATTAAACTAATCCAAATGTTATAACATTATTTTTATCAATTAGCATAATATAATTACGATCAGTACTTTAAGAACAAAAAAGTTATGTATACTAGGGATAGGGCTGGGAACCAATAGCAAACCCAATATTAACAAAATTTGTATTAATATTGGGTCTAAAATATTGGTATTGGTTTAAACAATATTTTCTATTTCTTGTATTGGTATTGCTATTGGTTTATATTGGTATTGGTTTAAATTCAAATTACTAATTAAAAGAATAGAAATAGTGATTATAATACCCTTAATTTCTAATTTTAAATAAACATGGGAAAAAAATCATGATACCATAAAATCAGGGCTAAGAACCAACTCTCAAACTGAATTCAAATTCTTTTTTTAAACTAGGAATTTATTAGGTGATGTGAATATAAAAAATTTTGATTTAATCATAACAAATAAAAATTATTTATCTGCCATGCCCGAAATTTAAATATAGAAAAATATTTTTTTAATTGTAAAAAATATATTGTGGCGCCTTGTTGGAATTTTAAAAAATATCAATTTATTCACAAAATTGGATGATATTATTTAAAAATTTAATCCCAACCCAGCTTAAAATTTTTGAAAAAAATTAGGCTCAACCTAGTCCAAAATAAATATTATTTTTTAAAAATAGGCTAGGCCCAAAGTTCCTTTGGGCAGGGATTTGCAGATCTCTAATGTGTACTACATAATAAGCGTGTAATATTGCTTTACCGATCATTTTTTAAAAATTTCATAAATATATCTAATATATACGTAATAAGACCCCTACATCGGACCCATTTTAGGGCAGGCCTGAATCGAACTTCATTTTTTTAAAAAAAAATTAATTAATTCTTGTTCGATCCGGTTAGATTGGTCAGGCCTATGGAGGGTTCTAGTATATGTCTATCATATTACGGGGCTTCCTTCTATGACTTTCCCCAAAGCGTCTCGTATGCACATAATTTGTTGGGTGTTAAAATTTAAGACAAGTACGGGGCCTTGTTCGAGTATTTTTCCCGAATTTATTTCGATGGGTGAAATGTCGATGAGTTTCGAATCGAATTTATAGCCCAATGCTTTGGCTTGTTTCAAGGGCTGACTAAGTATATTGAAGGGCTTTTTAGATATTTTTTTTTTTAAAAAAAGAAGATAAAAATGAGAATAATGTTAAAATAAAAATGCCATAATATATCATTGACTAGGGATAAAGTATTTCATCAATTAGAATGTCAAAATTTAATGTCGATTAATCATTTATTTGTACTTATATTGTGATCTGCTATTAATAATACAAGAATTTCTTAAACAAGATTTTAGAAAATAATTTATAATATGCCCATTTCAAAGTTTATTTTAATTAAAATGGAGAATTGTTTGCAAACATTTATTTTTTGAAACATCAAAATGTGTGAATAAAAATATTACTAATATAATAGAATTATTTTTAATAAAAAAAAAATAAATAAAATTTGTATACTGCTTCATGGCACCAATCTCGCAATATATCAAGATCTCCTCTAAGCATCGCCTATAATTTAAAAATTTTATAAGGTAATTTAAAATGTTTTTTACACTGCTTGAAAAAATATTTATTTTAATCAGAGAATTGAAACATTGTTCTTTTAGTTTTGCCCTGGATTCACAAATGGAAAGCGTTCCAGAATATAATTTATCCTTTATTATCATTTTAAAAGCACTTTTTAAATTATGTTTATTGATTTTTTTTGACAATCAGTTTACTGCTGATTATACGAAATGCGAAAAAGGTTTGTTTAAACAATTTTATGGTTAGAATTTTTAGTAGTATTGTTAAACCACTAAATTTAGTTGACTAAAACACGACTCAAGTCGACTAAATGGACTAATTTAATTGACTATGTCAAGCAATTTAGTCGATTACTTAAAGGTAGGCATACATTTATATTCATTTGTTTTTAATAATATAACAAAAGATATACGGCGCCTAGTTTCCTACAAATAAATAAAATTTAATATTTTTTTAATTGTACAGTAATATATTCTATCAAAAATAAAAAATATCAGTGATAGTCGACTAAATTAGTCAATGGTCGAGTTTTTGGTCGGGTTACTCAACTATGACTTTTAGTTGTAGTCCAAAGAACTTGACTAATTAACAGCACTAGTTTTTAGAATACAGTAAATGGGATTTGGATCCTACACAATATAAGAAATGTTTACTATTTAATTTTATTTTCTATACAATTTTGAATGGTATTCTGTTTATTTTTATTTTATCTATCATTTGATTTCAAATTCTTTTTTTTAATTTCTCATCACATGGACCATTTTTAAAAGCATCAGATCAATATGGAATAAAGTTTTCAATAATGATTGTGTTCCGCTTCCATTCTAATTCATCAAAAAATAATTAAGAGTTTCTGTTCCACTCCAAGTCCCGGATTATAGGCATTTATCTATTGCATAATAGTTTATAATATTTATTAGTACTTCTAATATGTTGGGTACGATATCTCTCCGACATTCCTCTAAAAACGCATTTTTATCGAAAGAATGATCTAATTTTGTAATTTCGGTTAACACTTCAGACAATTCAGTTTTGCTAAAAATACCCCCTATTAAAATATATATAGTAAGAATATTTGAAATAATAACCGTAGAGAAGCAAAGGGGGGAGAGGGTAAAGTGAGTGGTTGCACACAGGGCATAGCTCACTCCAATTTTAAGTGTTATATCTCCTCTTTAAATTTTTATTAACTTAATTTTAAATTAATTATAATTATAAAATATTTTTTTTGAAGATTTAATATTAAATAAATATTATAATAGGATTTTTGTAAAGAGAGTCAAAAATCAATTGAAATTATTATATTTCATATTTTAATTATAAAAATCTAATTAAAACGTGCAATTAAATTTTTATTTAATTAATAAATATTAGTATAAACTAGTTTTCAATTTTTCATATATTTTTTTAAATTATAAAATTAATATGTGCTCTCTTTTGACTCAATACAGTTTATATCGTAAAAATTATTCAATTTAAAAATCTTTGGAAAGTTACTATGCCCAAGTATACCCCTCAAGGATCAAAGCTATAATCAATTATTTCTTAGATACCAAAAATATAAAAATGCTAAATTTTTTAGAGTTATAAATTCCTATGTAAAACGATTCTTGAAAAATAATAAATATAAATCTATCTAATACTGGAAAAGATTATGCTTTATCATAGGGATTTTTTTTATCACTTTATCATATTAAATTAAGCCAAAATTAAAAAAATATATAAACATAGTTTTAAATAATAAAATATTAACATATTATATAATCTTAATATTAAACCAAAGACATCATATATTTTGTCAGTCACAAAACGAGAAGCACGCACTACAACACTGTCACTTTCATCGTACTTGGTTTTGAGGTCAAAAATTTCTGTCAATATAAGAAATAAGTAAAAAAATAATTATGTTTAGTTGGGATTTGTTAACTACTTTCTTTCGTAATCTATAATTTATTCTCCCTAAGGTGGAGTAAAAAAAGGTCTTAAATTTAAATTTTACATAGGGTAAAGGTTTTGATTCATATTGAAAATAAGATTTTTTAAACTATTTATATAGGGATTATTGTCCTTCCAATTTTGCCAACTTTGGTACCATTTTGAATCTTTATGCATTACCATGTCGGTGGCATCTCTTTAAATGTTAACAAGATTATATTAAAATATATATTTAAAACATGGTTTGGAATAGAGTCGTGAGAATCAGCCAAAGCCTGATCCAAAATAAATCGACTATAAAAATAAATATTGGTCTGACCTTGGGTACCAGTTAGAAACTAAACTAAAAAGAGTTCGAATGTTCTTTATATTATTTATAAAGGTGGTTCTAGTTCCGTTTCTTAAATTTGATCCATTTCCTAGGGTTCTCCAGGTTCATGTTCCAAACTCCGTTATAAACAATGGGGAAAAAAAAAATTAATCACACAAAATTCTGAACAACATATGTATAAATTATAACTTTATTTTAAGCAGTTTCAATTTAAAAAATTGAATAGAAATATGAACAACATCAAATTAATAAAAAAAATTTTTTTAAAAAACTAATAAGAATATATTTTAAAAAAAATTTTTTTAATGCATAAAAATAAGAATCATAAAATATTTTTTACAAAAAACCTTAGAAATTATAAAAATCCTCTTTGTTTTTTTAAAGATCTAAGGCTGGCTTGCCTCCTATATAAAAGCAATTAGGAAAGATAACTCAAGCTCAAAATATAAATGTTATTCTTTATTTAGTTATGAATTAAATAGCAATAAATTTGATAATTTAATATTTTCCAATTGTATTCCATCAACAAAATAGAATTAAAAAAAATGAAATTTTCCCCATTTCCTATTTTTTTAGACTCAATTTATAATTGTAACATTTAAGAAAGAAAAAAGTAGGAAGTTAATAGGAAGGAAAAATAAAACATTGATATTTGTTGGGCTATGAGAAGCAAAATTGTATTAATGATGTTACCATGGCCCAGGTTAATGGGCTAGCCTTGTAGGAATCTAATCAAAACTAACGAATTTCCTTTAATTTGTAGAACATTTTTACAAAATTTTAGTATCTAATTGGTTATAAACTTAAACATTGTTCCCTTCTTACTTATTAGGATCAAAAATTTTGTTGGAGAAGTCATTTAAATGTTCCGAGTATTCTTTCCGTTTACGTAATTTGGCTAAGGGTCGATAATACATGCTGTGCATTGAGGTTTGATCGTCTATTTCTTCTTTAATCATTTTTACACTCTTTTGATTCCATTTTATTATTTAAAAAAACGTGAATATAAATAAGCAATGATATAAACTTTTATTTGCCAATATTAACAAAACTTAAAATATGTGGCATTGGGAGGGGGGGGCAAGATTATAATATTTTTAAAAATAAAATTAGAGGTAAAAAGTAGGGCTGTGCAGATATTAAATATCGAATCGGATCAGTACCGATATTTAGCGTTTTCCGGAAATATCGGATGGGGCCGATACCTGTAAAAAAACCTATCCGATTCGATCTTTTTACTTTTCTTTTTCTTGTTATTTTATTTTATTTTATGTTATGTATATTTATTTTACATTATTATAATATTTTCTAAATAATTTTTTTAAATTTTATTTCTTTTTTAAAATAAATTTATATTATTTTAAAAGTTTTTTTTTATAATAGAAAGGAAAACCCAAAGTTTTATTTATTTTAAATTTTAAATAACGCCAATTTTTTTATTTATAATTTAAATAAAAGAATTTTTTTAAATATGGTATCTGAATTATGGATATATTTTACAAAAGACAAAGATAATTTTGCAAAATGCGTTATCTGTGGAATCATCTGAGTCTGCCTTCAGTATGGCAGGAGATATAGATAGTCCATATCGTAGAAGTTTATTCCCAGAAAATCTAGAGGCTCTCATATTAAAAAAATCTAATATATTATAATTTTATATATTAAATATTACAATTTTATAATTCATACCAACATAAAATGTATATATTATTAAATATATATTTTTTTATTATATTGTTAATTGTAGAAATAAAAAAATTAAATTAAATCCATAATTCGATTTTTTGCATAAAAAATATTGATTTCTTAATTACATTTGGTTCAAATGGGGGTGATTAAAAATCAGTAAAAATCTCGGATCAGTATCGGATCGGTTTTGAAGCAATATAGGAAAATATCGGATCGGATAGGTGAAAAATATGTGGATCAGCACAGCCCTAGTAAAAAGAAATGGGAAAATTTTCTTCTTTATGTCTTACCTCCTTGTCTGTTTAGATATTAGACAATTCTTCTTTATAAATGATTAGCTTAATGTAGGCTAAAAATTTCTCTCTGCTATATATCATAACTAAATGATACAAATTAGTGTGAAATGTTTGATTAAATTTATGCTTTCTATCATTATAATAAAGCTATCTGAAGAAAAATATTTTTTAAATTTAATGCAATTTTTGATATATTTTATTATTCAATCTCTATTTTTAATCAGAAATTAAGTTTTCATAATATTATATAAGTGATATAAAAGATAATTTTCTTACATCTGATATGGCTTTATAGGCCTCAGTGGAACCCAAGGTTTTTCCAGCCTTGGAGGCTGTATCAGCTGCTCCCTTGACTTGCTTAGTTATCTCTTCAGACAGTTCAATTGCTTTTTTGGTGAAATCTGATTTTTGTGCTTCTTCAAAACTCTTAATTATATATTTTTTAAATAAACAAATTTATTTATTATAATAAAAAGTAATTATGAACTACTTAAAGGCTCAAACCAAAACATTAATAAACATCAACAAAAATTGTTCTCAGTACATATTTAGACTTCATTAATTAATTAAATTTTCCTATTATCCTGCCCATTATTATAAAAGCATATAATAAAACCATATATAAATAAATATAATTACTTCTTGAATTTTATCTCGTAATGTCTCCAAATGATACTTTAAGTGATTAGAGCTATTCAATGTATCTTTTTCAAGCTTTTGATATTTTTGCCTAACTTGTTGTAAAGATTCTGAATTTTCCAATCTTCGAGATTCCTCCCTGAATTTCTTTAAAGTTTCCTATATTATATATAATGTAAACGATATAACAATTTATCAAGTCATTAAATAATATTTTTCATTTATTAATATTTAATTTTAAACTATACCTTCATTTCCTTATTTTTAGCCAATTCATCTCTAATTGAATCCACCAGATCATTTAAAAATCCTTTTTTTGGTTGAGGTATTTGAGAAAAATTATATTTCTATTCTAATGTATTATTAATTTATTTAATCTATTATTTTACCTGAATATTTAACTGAATAGATTTTCTTATTAAATGTCGCAAAAACATTGTTTAAAATGAACACACTGAACTCACCTTGTATAAAATTAAATGACATAACAAGTCCCGTTTGACAACTGGCATTTATCAGGAAAATACCTTTATTATTAATATTTTTGATTGTTCCAACGAGAAATTGAAAATATAAGCAAATAAATAAATATCAAACGCTTTATTGTATGATTTTGCAACATTTTCTAAATAATTAATTTTATATTATAGATTTATTTTTAAAATCGGATCGGACTAGTCTGGATTTTCAATTTTTCAAACTTTTCTGAACCAGCGCGGACTCTTATATTTTCAATTTTTGGCCATGTCCAGATCAGGGTTACCATGTCTCCCCCAATCAGTGGGAGTCTCCCACAATTTTTTAGTTTACCCACATACATCTCACTCCCACAAAACTCCCACAATTAGAAATCTCCCACAAAAAGCTCCCACAATTTTTTAATTTCTTCCAAAATTTTTTTTTTAGCATTTTAATGTTTTTAATATATAAATAATAATTTTAAGAGACAGTATTTGATTATTTTTATATTTTTAAAATAAATTTTAAATATTTATTCGAAAAATATGTCTAGTTCTTTTATTTTATTTTTCCGCTCTAAAATATATTTTTTATAAAATTCTCCAATTTTCCACTCGACATTTTCAAAATTTTTGTGTTAGAAAGAATAGAAGTTGGAACAGTATGTATAATTATTATAAATATATTTTAAATTACTTAATATATTTTATATCGTTATCTAGAATTGCAGTGCTCCACTAGTTTCACATGTAGGAAATATACTTCATGTAGTTAATATTCAGTTGCAATCAGAAGATTCTTTATTGATAAAGATTCACAAAATCATGCTACAGCTCTTATCATCTCTACAGTTAAAAATAGATAATAAATTTTATGGCGCTATTGCTAAAAATATCATATTAAAATGTTCAAATATTACTATAATTAACGATTTTTAAATTAAGCAAATATCTTTATTAAGACAATTTTGGAATATTTACAATCAAGATTTGATTTTAATAACTCTATTTACAAGTGTATAAATATTATGACCTTGGAACAGAAACCATCATTTGATGGTTTTTGTAATTTAATAAATATATTAAAATTACCGAAAGATATTGATGTCTTGTTTGAGGAGATTGTAATTCTCTTCTATTTTTTATGATTCGTCAAAATACTTAAAGATAAATATTCTAAAAGCAGAGGAGGAATGGGTAAAAAATTTTCGTAATAACGATAAATCCCCATGCTTGAAAAAAATATGCGAGTATGTCTTCTCCTTACCTCATTCTAATGCCTCATCAGAGCGCATTTTTAGCCTGATGAGGACTGCCCGAAGAAAGGAGAGAAATCGAATTGCTTTAACAACATTAGAGGCCGAGTTGATGGTTAAACAAAATTATAAAATGTCATGCCAGGAATTTTATAAATATCTTAATAACGATGGTAAACGTTTAGTTCCATTATTTAAATCTCAAATAAAATATAATTAACTATAACTATTTGATTTTCTATATTTTATAAAATCTTATTTATACATTTGCATAAAATCAAATAAATTTATTTTTTACATTGTAAAATTAATATTTTGAATATTTTGGCAAATCATAAAAATAAAGAAGCATTACAATCTCCTCAAACATGACATCATATTAAATCTTATTAATAATTACGATAATAGTAATAATATTCTTACTTTAGTATTTCTGCAGCATAATTTAGTGAACCTTTATTAAATTATATTCTTCTGATTGCAACTGCATATTAACAGCATATAGTAGATTTCCTATATGTAAAATTCCTATATATACTTCTGCCATTTATTTTTGAAAATTTTTTTCAAAAATTAGGACAGCTTTTATAATCTATTTATTTTTTAAAGGTTTGTAAAATTTTAAAATTCTACGATGGCGCGTATTAGGAGGAACCTGTCAACCAACATTATGCTGACTCAATTCTGTAAATACACTCTGGTTTTTGCCAAATTCACTAAGGAATTATCAGATCAGAAAGCTGCCATGCAATTCATTGGTAATGCCAAATCTGCCATATTTACCATTATATATGGTTAGCTATGTCTTTGGATATTTCCTATCTGGAGAAAATTTTTTTAATAGTTTTATTGAAATGACATTAATTTTGTTGAAATAGGGGAGGATCAAGGGAAATGTTTTGATATCTCCTTATTAGATGCATCTTTTAGAATTGCATATGTTTGCACATCTTTCAAATCGTCAAGAATTGACCTTCTGGGTTTATATCCTAAAACATTGATGATAGCCTTGCTCATTTGTGTTCTACAAAGTATACTTTTCATTTATATTAGTCGTTAAATATTATGGGGAAAATTCTACCAACATTGTGATGTTAAGTAGCTCTCTCAGCGTCTACATGAGCGGGGGGGGGGAGGAACAGTTTGCATCCTAATATCTATAAAGGGGTAGGGGGTAGGCATTTTGGGGGGTAGGCTAAAATAATCTAGAAAATTTTCCATTACATTTTTAAATTATCTATGGATAACATTTTGGTATATTAGGAGGGTAGATATATATTTTTGAGGGGGGGTTTGCATCCAGTGAATATACTGTCATGTAGACGCTGAGCTCTCTGAATGTTGTACTGCATGATAGGTATTTACCATTTCCGCAACTGTAGTTGCATCTGTATTATTTCTTATTTTTGAAAAATATTTTTGTTTTGCAATAGATGTTGATAGACTGCCCTGTACTGATTTATGCTTTGAAGATTTTTGATGCCTCAAAATATCATATTCCCTTCCCCCATTGTATTAACTAAATACTGTAGAACAACTTCCCCGCACTGATTATAATTATTTTTTACATTGTAAATTTAAAATTGTTTGTTTTTTTATAAAATCTTATTTATACATGAGCATAAAATATATTTTTTTACCTTGTAAAATTACAATTTTTTTATAAAATTTTATCTTGTTTACATTCTTTTGTATTTAAAAAAGATCGTTGGTTATTATTTTTAAACAAAATTAATATATTATAATAAATCAATATGTTATTTTAATAATAAAGATAGTATTTAAGAAATTTTGTGTCGTACTATAATTACCTATTTTGAAAAATAGTTGCGTATTTTATTTTAGAAAATAGTTACCTATTTTATTTTGAAAAAGAGTTGGATATTTTATTTTGAAAAATAGTTATTTTATTTTGAAAAAATAGTTAGCTATTTTATTTTGAAAAATAGTTGGCTATTTTATTTTGAAAAATAGTTGGCTATTTTATTTTGAAAAAGAGTTGGATATTTTATTTTGAAAAATAGTTATTTTATTTTGAAAAAATAGTTAGCTATTTTATTTTGAAAAATAGTTGGCTATTATTATTTTGAAAAATAGTTGGCTATTTTATTTTGAAAAATAGTTGGCTATTTTATTTTTGAAAAATAGTTGGCTATTTTATTTTGAAAAATAGTTGGCTATTTTATTTTGAAAAATAGTTGGCTATTTTATTTTGAAAAATAGTTGGCTATTTTATTTTGAAAAATAGTTGGCTATTTTATTTTGAAAAATAATTACCTATTTTATTTTGGAAAATAGATTCGATTTTATATTTATAAAAAATAATAAGTGGATAACTAAGTCAATTCTAAATCCCGGCCGCAGGCTAGGCCTTTGCGGCCCGCAAAAAAGTTTTTTTTAGCAATTTTCATATTTCTCCCATAATTTTTATATTACTCCCACAAAATACCGAATTTCTCCCACAATTTGAAAATTTTGACCTGGCAACCCTGATCCAGGTGCTTTTTAATTATCTCTCTTAGTCAGGAGAGGGGGTTAGCCAATAGAGGGAGAGTCCCATCCTCCTGCTCCTAGCAATAAAAATGAAGATTATAATTTTTTTGAAGAAATATAAAAAGTTTATGTGAAATGTCAATTGTAAATTATTCTATTTTTTAATAAAAATTGAAAGTATATTTTATTACATTTTTCTAATTAGGATTAATAAGCCAATAAGTTTAAATTTTTATCTGAAAGGACAATTTTATAATATTTTTTCGTTTCGGAAGACCAAAAATAATTTGTTTTTATAATTGAATTGCAATATTAACTTAATTATTTCATTTACATTTATCAAAGTGCTTACATATTTTAGATACCGCATATCCTATGACTAAATTAGATGAAATTAAGATCAATAAATCTATTATTGGTGTTATGAGGAAATTTTGTTTCTATCTGAAGCTGAACTATAATATTATATATTAAAAAGTTATTCACATTATACTTTTTATTTTATTATAATAAAGTTTTATTTGTGAAAAATTTATTTTGATGCATAAATATAAATTAAGTTGCTCAAAAATTAATATAAATAAAGTTTTCAATTTTTTGATAATTTAAGTTTATATAAATAAAATATAGCTTTATTATTGATTTATATAATTTAATTGTTAAGTAAAGACCTCTAATTATTTGTGCAATATTATAGATTATTCTCTTACCATATCATATTTATATCAAATTTAAATCGTAAATTCGCCAACAGGGGTGGATTGGCGATGATTCAGTGTCGTGGGAAAATCTTTCTAACGGCCTAATTATTTGAGGGGCTTTATTCCCATTTATTACCCTGTATCTGACTTTTGATCGGTTTATCTTTAAAAGCTTATTATTATTATAAATGATTTTTTATCAAATTTCATGTATTTTTTTACATAAGTATGTTTAAAACGATATTAATATTGTTAGATGGCTAATTTTGAGCCATTTTTTAAAATGGTCAATTCAATATTTTATCCAAAATATATTACCCAAGTCTAAAGACTTTACTCATAGATGGCATAAAGATTTAAAAAAATTATAAATATAACTTCACACATAGAATTTTGCAAATGAATATGATATATTAGGTAAGCTAATAAATCTTATATTAATTTATAACTATGGCACAAATAAACATGAAGTTCTTGTAATTCAATTTGCATCAACAATTATGTACCTGAATAAACTGCTCCAATACTTAGTAAGGTATTTCTTTGATACGG